GAGAAGTTGCAGGAAAGGAAATTCTGATTAGGTATTAGGAAAAAAAAAAATCTTCACCTTGAAAGGTGTCAAAAACAAACAGGCCAGCCAGAAGGTTGTACCCTTCAAGATACTGAGAACTTGATTGGACAAGACCCTGAGCAACCTGATCTGACTTTGAAGTCAGCCCTGCTCTTGCAGGGGTTTGGACCAGATGACCTGCAGAGGTCCATCCCAACCCAAGAGTAAAGCAAAAGTGGGAATGCCAGAAACTTCTGACTGAACCAGCATCATTAAGCACTGAGAAAGAAGTCCGAGTTATATAAGATAGCAAAATAACCAAAGCTAGGTGATTAAAAAGCATATAAGGAAAGCAAAAATCTATAAATTCAGCTTAATGCAAAATGGAACAAAGAATTACTTCTCCAGTCCTGGGTTATAAGCTAAATGTTCAGAAGACTAAAATGCCACTGAGGGTCACTTCATGAAAACATTTACTTAATGCACTATTAGAATGCATAATGGATAACATAGAAATATGCACATCTTTAATGGCAATACATGAATTCATCCGTACCTTAAACACCACAATCCAGTCTTTGAAAGAATAAAAAAAAGAAGAAAGACTCAGAGAAAGGTGATAAAAATGAGACAGAACTCCTCAAGAGGTGAGACCAAAAAGCTTTTTTTAAAGAATACAAATGCAAAGTGTGAATCATATCAAGGTTATTTGAGAACTCCTAAATACATCCAGCTACTGAAAGGCAGACGATGCATTTAAAACTGAACGAAAGGAAGTTCTGCGAGTCTTACTAGTTGCTTCAGAGGCAGAGGTGACATTTCAGAGGCACATTACCACCTATGCCCTGAACCGATGCTATGACAGTTACTGTCAGAAGCAGCAGGTTGCTTTCATCTCAGAGTTTGGTTTTGACATGGACAAGCATCACTGGGCTGAATGGCTCGGCATGGTAAGGATCAGTTGACACTGCATGAAATGCAAGCAGAATGCTACAGCTGCACTCTCCAAGACTCAAAAAAGAAAAATAGTGAACAGTGTAGTGAGTTTCCATCTCAGTGGCATAGTTTCTAGCCTCTAGATAACTTGCTAGCTATTGTGCCACTTTTGTTTTCTGCATTAAAAACTTTTTAATTACACAGAAAGCATTATTTTGTTATTCAAAGCACTGTGCGCCACAGGCACTATCTCCACATGATACCACAACTATGTTTAGTTGATCGATTCCCAGAGCGTTTAGACACAAATGTGGGGACCCCTTGCTTTAAGATGACTGTAAGAAATGTTCCTACAGACCCAAGAGCAAACAGCACTCTGACATTGTGCAAGCTTGATCATTTCAATCTGACACATATGCCTGTCTGACCCTAAATCCCTAGTATTACAATTAAGTTCAAATAAAACGCAAGATGCCTAAAGCTATTCAAGTCTACTCTGTAACAACTAAATCTCCCAGCATTTCTTCAGTACATTAACAATTCCTCCGTACTTTCAAATGAAGGAAAGCTTTGAGTAACTATTACTCAGTCAGTCTTCTGAGGCCCACAGGCATCTCCTTCCTTACCCTGGAGGGGAAATACAGCAGAACTCTGCCAAGGTTTTGCTCCTCTCTCTGAACGTGTTGCATTACTTGAACAAACCGAGCAACTAAGCAGCATTCTGCAGAGTAAGAATCAGAAAGATGATCTTACTTTTGCTGCTAACTTGTAGCACAGAGATTCTCTTTTGCTTACAGTACATATCTCAGATTAGGTCCATTGCTATGATATAATGAAAAGCAACTGCTAAGCCCTTTTGAATAGTACTACCACAAAAATAAATCTACTAAAATGCAACTTAATTTCAAACTGATAAAGCAAACTGGCAGATCAAGGCAAAGACATTCACAGTTGTACGTACACACAGATACCTGGTTTGTGACTTTCAGTACCTAAACACACCGAAGATGACCTAATCAGACCTGGCCCAGCGTAGTTACCCCAGGTTTGTACCGTAACATGTAATAACACTTCAACTCAGTTAAAAGGCACTGGTGTTTCTCAATAAATGTCTTCGCACAGGCAAATGAGAAGAGATGGAGAACAGAATGCTGTCTTTAGAGCACGTGTAGGAAAGTTATGCTAAACACACTGAGCGCAGGACAGAACAGAAGAAGGACAAAAAGTGAGTTTAACGACTCTCTTCAAAATACGACTACTGATTTTTTCCACTTAGCCTGCCTGTATTTGCTATCAATGCCAAATAAGACAGCAGAGGTTTTCCCCTCCTACCTCCGATCTGAACAAAGCAGCCACAAATGCAGAGGCACTGGAAAGCAGAGTGGGATTTCTAGAAATCATTCATATGCCTAATAACACAGGTATGTTACACAGTAAGAAAAAAATACAATGCTTTTTTTTTTTTTTTCTCAGAACAGGTTAAATAAAAACTAGCTACAGAGGTTCTAACAATTCCAACTGAAGACTTCAGTATGGGAAGACAGATTAGATGGAAAGGAATTAAGTACACCTGTAACTCTGATAGAGTCAGCCAATATCCCTATTCAATTCTGGGACATACAGGTACTACATCTGTAAGCGGAGGACCTCCAGCGGGAAGACTACAGCTAAACAGTCATGGAGGAAGCTCACTTTCAGCAGGGAACTCCGACGACAGCCACCACATTTGCAGTTTAGAAGCTAGAAGAAAACAATGTGGGGGAAGCTATTCCGTGGCCATGTTTGAAAGGGGCTTAATACAAGAGAGTACTTGAAATGCACGTTGCTAGAAGGACGGGGAGGAGGGCTACCCTTGCAGGTAGGGACTGGTAAGGTATAGGCTGGAAATCAGGACTGCCGCTTCAGCTCTCCAAAGCTGACAACTTAATATGTGGATTTTCAGTTGCACAATGATTTTTACTGCAGTTTTATTTGACCAACATATTAAAACAATTTGTCGAATTAGTAAGGGTCAAAATCACAGTAACCCTGAGGCCTGCTTACAGGTTTAGTCACATTAAGTTTTGTTACCAGGCTATCACAGTGATAATCATAAAAATGGAAAGTGAAAATGTATTCATTTTCGCATGTTCAGTGATGTGCCACATACTTATGAAATCTGAAACACTAAATTAAGAAATTTAAAAAACTTACAGACTTTTACACTGTACTTCTGATGCTCCTGCTTCTCATTCCATGAAAGGTTACCCACCTCTGACTTAGAGCCTCTTCACTGGCAATGTTTTTAAAGACATGTATTTTGAATTTGGGCAACTGTTTCTGAACTAAAACATAACCTTATTTTTACCCACCCATCCCCCCACCCCCCAAAATCAAAGCTAATTTGTTAGAACAAAATAAAATCCAAAACACAATCTGAAACACCATGCACTTGTAACACAGCAGAAGGCTGCAAACAGTATTTTGGTGGGCTAATATGCAGTATCAGACAACCACAGACTGTATCTCAGGAACAGTATAAAAGCAGGAGGGACCACAGCAGATCTAAGGAGCAAGAGAACGTACCAATTACAAAAGACAACACCGTCACCCATCCTATCCTCTTCACTGACTGTACCAAAGGAATGAGTCTTCTCGTATAACCACTAAGACAGCATTGTTTTTTAAATCATTTGGGCACACTTCAGTATCTTCCTGGTACATGTACCACACCATTACTTTCATAAATCCACTTTGATCTCAAAATTTGCAGGGCTATCCAAAACAAGGGGTCAATGAAAGACCGTTCTATATTTATCTGATATTAATCCCATATGAACTCAACCTCTGTATTTCTGAAGTAGCAACATACTACTGCAACTTGTTAATATTTCCCCCGCTTTGTGTATGAAAACTCTTGTGTACTGCTGCAGAAATAACAGAGATAACACAGACTAAAGCAACTTGGAACAGCAAACCTAAGATGGCCGTAACAGCCAAACACAATTCCACACAACTTTTGCATGAGTCTAGGTTTAATTTGCTTTACAGGACAGTTGGCCAAACAACGACATTCATCATAAAAATATCCTCTCCATTAAGCAAATCTCATTTTTCTTTCCAAAAGAAAATTCAATGTATACTCTGAGTATTCAGTGGCTCATTTTCAAGATCAGCCCACACAGACTTTTCTTAACAAAACAAAGCAATTGAGTTAAAAAATGCAGACCAATGTAATGACATAGTCATATTGCTTTTGGCTATGTTAACTTTAAAAACCATGCCAATTTAGCTATTTTTCTTTAGGTTTTATTAGAAAAAAGCAGCAGATCAACATTACAATTCAGAGTCTAATCTAAATATGCACTTGACAATGAAGCACATCTGAATAGGAAGTGAAAAAGGATTCCAGAAAACCTTCAGTTTTGCTGATCTCCTGCTACCCAAATCATGTATCTTTTCTTCTGGCTTTCTGATGACTGAAATCAAACAAGGAACAAAAGATTTATTGCTATGAAAACAAAACCATAGTACAGTAGTATGAGTCTTGGGCGCTAAGCATATTCCGTCAAGTTAACTTAATGATTTCAAAGCGTACTTAAATCTTTTGTTTGGCCATGAAAGTCCACAAGCTAACTGACCCAAGTATAAACCGAAACGGTAGGTCTGGACACACACAAAAAAAAAAGTTAGACAGCATGTTAACCTCCAGTTTTCAGACAGTAATAAAAGATACAATTCCAACAGCCAAGAAATTAAAATAAAAAAAAAGAAAAAAGTTGATCTGACATTCAAGAGCTAAGTTTATTCTTATGCTCATTTTGTTTGCGCCCCAAATAATTTTAGACCCACCAGAAAAAAAAAGAGTATTTATGGACTATCACACAATTGAAAAAGAGAAACAATTGCCTTTTGACTTGGTTATTTTCCCCCACTGAGGTATAAAATCTACATATAAATTTGATACTTCACTATAACAAATTGTACTTTTCATAGTTCTGATTTAGTTTCCATTAAACCCTGTTTACTTTTTGTTTTTAAACCACAGAATTGTTATTTCACGTTATTGAATCTGGTTTCCAGCTCTCTCGCGTTCTCTCTCATTTGTGGATCTATATTTAGTAGTCTGGTTACCACCGCTAACCAGGAAAAAAAATTCTTGGAACTTTCTTCATTATAACAGCACTTTCAGCAGAGGTTACTGATGTGCAAGCAAACTACAACGATATGCAGCTCTTCAGAGAGACAATTTCATTGATTATGTTTCCACTGTCCAAACGTTCTCTAAATTATTTGCTGGAAGAAACTCTTTCGATCTTGTAAACATCAGTGGGCGCAGTTTCACTAGTATGTGTGGTAGTTTCACATCCTTACACAGGAAGGCTGGTTCACAGCTACTGAGAAGCTGCAGGAGTTCTAACAGCTGACGGACTGTGGATTCTGCTGAGCAGAAGTTTCTTCTGTTGCTACTTGACAGTGTAGCCAAAGTATCAGCCGAGGTAGCCCAGTCAATCCTTGCTTTTCTTTAGAACCTCTCAGAATATTTCTGGAAGGGTGACATTGCGAAGCAGCCACTGGGGGGCCCCCCTGCCGTTGCAGTCTCTGATGCTGGGTACCTGGCTGTCCTCTTCGGTGGCTTTGTCCAGGCACTGGTTGCTGTTCACATGCAACAGGGTTAATTTCTTAAAGACAAAATAAAAATAAATTAGTTTCACATAAACCACCAGGCATAAGCTAAACCAAAAAGTTTCTAGTGGCCATTAAAATTCTTCCACAGCTAAGCAGGAACTAGACAAGACACCTTGCTTACTGACTCCAGATCCCAATCCTAAAGAACACTTAAAGGTGCTATTTGATGTTGTAGATACTAAAAAGGTTGCTTCATGCAAAACAGAACAGTCTGAACTTTTAAATTATTTCTTTATCAAGCAATATCTACCATTCTTTAAGCAGGACTACACAGCTAGGGATCTTTGAGGAGTAAGAAATTAACGTTTGGTAAGATGTACAACTTTGATTATTAGTTACAACAGTAGTTTTGATCAGATCAGAATGAACACACTGTGTAAGTATTCAAAAGTAGGCTTTTCTCTCAGATGGGGACAAAACCCTGACATTATAATATGTTCCTTTAGTACTATGTTCTTTTTAAAAGGTATGTTCTCTTTACCAAAAAAAAAAAAAAAAAGTGTACAAATTCACATACATATACATGTTTTCCAATACCTACTAATCCTATGTATGCAATCTTCCACACACCACTCCATCTACCTCGGCACTACCTCATGGAGAAGAGATCTTTGGAAGTTGCGTTTCCTGCCACTGTACTATGGATACTCATCAGTGCATCAACTTGTTTATGGTACTGATTGGCATTGCTATCAGTATTTCTTCTCTGTCTCAGCAACAGAACCAGGCCACTGGACTGACTGAAAAGTGGCGGAACAGGCAGGCCTTACGTGCACAAGCAGCAAAGGGTAAGAAAAACCAACCAAAAACCTGAGCACATCAATCTCCTGCACTCATACAGCAGCTGAAGAATGAAGAAGGGAGTTGGAACAGACTTAAGTAGACAAATAACTAACAAAGTTTTCTCCCCTCCAGCCCTTTCTTTTCCTCCCTGGTAGACATTAAGGGAAAGGGGCTGCTTATATGCCTCCTGAACAGAGGCAGAAGGAAAAAAAAAAAAAAAATACAGAAAAATCACCCAACTATGTGGGCAGGAATTCTTGGTAAGTATTCTCAAACTTATTTTTGTGCTTTATTAGCCAGCTTTCAGTAAAGTTCTGAAGATTATACCTAGATTTTCCATTGACAGAATAAAGAGAAAAAACCCATACAACCAAATTTGTCCCTGCTCACTGCAGGGGGGTTGGACTAGACGACCTCTAAAGGTCCCTTCCAACCCAAAACACGCTATGATTCTATGAAATTTATGGCTGAGGATTGATATCTAAAGATGCAATGTTCTTACCATTGATAAGGTAGAAAACAAAATAAAAAGCACTTGTTTGGTGAGTCACTGCATGTAGTAATATTACTCATTTTATTTACTTAAGTCAGGTAAACTAACTATATAAAACCCAAGAATGAATGGCTCCCAAGACTCAAATTTAATAATTTCAATTAACATTTAATCCTGAAAGCCTTCAACAGCTGTCTTCAGTCTCCTACCAGCAGTTGCTAGCAATATGCAGAAATCCTAGTAGAGATCCACTGTCTTCCACATTAACTGCCATCCTCATCAAAAAAAATCATCATAAGTATTTCCTTTTAGTCTTAAAGGCTGTACGTTTCGTTAACGCCTCAGCTACTAAAATCTATAGCAAGTCTATTTACTTAGAAATAACCCCCCCTATTTTTTTTTCTTTTTTATCAGTGAAATGACTGTTTAGTAGCTAAATATCTACATGTTCTCTTTATAAAACAGCCATCATGATTATACTGGCAAGATTCTTCTACAAATCGTCTCGCAACTGTCTTTCACAATAACTGATTTTAAATTAACAAGCTTGAGAACTACTTTTTTTTCTAACTAGCCATGCCGTAAGTCAGAGTTCTTCGCTACACTACTCAATGACAAAATTGCAAATCAAATTAATGATGGTCATTGGTCAAATGTCAATGATCAAAGGTCAATGTTTTCTTGATCTGGCATTCAACACATGAACTTCAAGATAAATTTGAACATTATGAACAAGAAAGAGAATGGTCAAAATAAAGCTGTTTTAAGCATCTCTATCTTAAACATACCATGATTAGAAATGTAAGATCTTCCTTATCATTTGGGGATGCTGATTTTTTAATTAGAAAAGTATTTCCTTTTAACCTTGTGCATGATAAGACACCAGGTGCTAAATTTGTCCCAAGATGGTTAGCATTATCTTTTATTGGTCCAGTAGATACCTGGAATACTTTTCCATTGTTGTAACACGACACTACACTAGCAGACTATCTTTCTCCAGAGGATCCAAAAGCACATTGACAATATTCTTCTAAAAGCTTCCCCAAAACTCACCAGGTAATTAAATCAATACAGATGCTCACTGAGTGACTATACCATGAATTAATAAGAGAGGGAACATAATCCTGACTTTGTTTTGACTGTCAAATAGTGGTCCCACGCTGGAGTATGTTGCTCTTTAGGCTCACGTAAAAACCCCAAGTTGTCTCCTTTCAGTGTCACAAGTCATTAGAGGACTTACCACTGGATCATATTCCCAAAGCTGATTTCCTTTTAGATGGTGGCACTTGAGCATCGTTACTGGGCCATTAAGTTTGGATACATCTAAACACAAATCATCTGTTCGAATTTCTTTGTTAGCAGTATATGAGAAAACCTAGACAGAAAAAGAATGAGAGGAACTGAAAAAAAAAAGTTCAAATAAAAGATTCCTGGCTCCAGGGGAAAGGGGAACATTTCTGCATTACTTCATTAATATCCACTAAAACGTTATTTTTCTTCTGCTGTCAGCACATACAGAAATACTATTTTTTTTTTTTTTTTTTTTTTTTTAGGGAATAAATATAAACATTGTATGAACAAGCTCTTCAGTCAAAATTGACTTTTTTTTGAATTGCAGACTGCTTCCTGCGTAGAAATGGGAGGATCCCCAACACAGGTAATCTCTGCATATTGGAAAACAATTCATCAAGAATTATTAACAAAGTAGAACAAAAAACCAGATATAAAATAAATGCCAGAACTGACACCCAGAAAAATATACATTAAAACCAGCATTTCAGGTACAGGCATGTTTCTTTTAAAGTAACAATGTCGATCAGGAGGTCTAACCAGAAGACAGATCCAGAGAACCTACAAGAGGTAAAATCTAGCTTATAGTAGTCTCCTCCCCTCGTTTCATTTTTGACTTGAAAGTTCACCTAAAATCTACTGCAAACAGACCTCAAAAACCTACAAATGACAAACCACCAGCCAATCTTCTCATGCATGTCCTCTTACAGGTACCTTCTTCAATGGGGGTTTCCCTAAACTTTTCGACTTATTTTAAAGGTAACTACTGAAAGAATTGAAGAATTGTCCCAATGAGAAATAGTATTCCAAATAATTCAATACAGTAACTTCATTTAAAAAAAAAAAAAAAAAAAAAAAAAAAAGTCACCTGATTGCCACCCATTCCATGGCAGTTAAAGATTCCAACTTTCTCATTTTCTTTTCTTGCCATGTTATCCAGACATTGATTTGTCTCCACATTTCTTATCTGGGAGCGAAAAAGAGCACATCACCAAAGTTTGTTATTTTTAGAAGAGAACTAGGTGCATACCAAACCACACCAGCACCAGTTCTCTCCGTTATACACCAGAGGTTATGTGAACAAAATGTAAAACATAGGAACCATACTACAACGAGAGACCACTGTCCAAGACTCAAACTCCCAAGCAAATGTTCAAGCCACCAGTTTACAGAACCACGTCTGTTTCTTTGCTTTCTTTTGGGGATCTTTCCATCTTGGGGACTCTTTTTGCTCAAAGACTCAGCTACAACAGAATGGACATAATTGAGTCTCCAGCCCAAAACCTTTGGAAGTTTTAAAGCAGTCTCATAGGTATGCTGGGTTTAATTCCCATTGAAATCACAGGTGACTGGGTTCAATTTCCTCACTTCTTGAGTTACAGCCTTAATCCCTGTATTACTCTATAGTAAGCAGACATGAATACCAAGTCTCCTGATAGTCATGCAGCAGCACGAATGCCTGCTCCATTTTGTTAAAAGCATTTCTTTAAAAACAAACTACAAAATCACCCTACAACAGGCTCAATGTTTGGCCCAACATGACTTGTAGGGGAGAGTAGGCACCTACTTATTTAGGACAACATCTGTATTACCTCTACAGTCATTTAGGAAACTTTAAAGAAAAAAAACAGAGAAACATCCAGCACTGCTTAGGGATCACTGAAATTTGCTGGTCACTAACGAGGGTTCTGGAGGTAAAGTTCAGAGCAGTTTTTAGGCAAAGTCCTCATTTGACCTGGTCTATTTTTTTTTTTTAAGCAAAACTCTGCTCATACTCTACACAGAGAACATTATGGGAAAGTTATCTATAACTATAAATTTCTGAAGGAATATTTCTAAAGCCCTTCTATGTGACATTTAGTGTGGTCATAAAAAAGGGAAAACATTCAAATTCTAGTACTGTATACCAAAGTTCAGTTTTCTGCCCCACCGAGAGGCCAGGTATATCATTTTACAGATGACAGGAACACAGGTGCAAGATACTCGAACTTCGCTGGAGATAGCTTGTTTGCACTACTCAGTTCAGAATACAAACAACCCACTGTGCGACATACTTTACATAAGGTAGATAAATACATAGAATAAAAAGCTTACCTCTCCCAGAGAAAAGTAATGGCGTGGAATTTGGGAATCAGGATAAACATTCTCTAGGTACCAGGAGAAAGGCTTGCACTGGAGCTTGCGTCTTAGTCCAAGTCGTGATGATATGTCCCCGTAATCAACTTTAGTAACTCCTGTGGAAACAAAGAAAGTTTTACTCAATGGCTGCTGGTAAACTTTATATAATTCCACCTAATACAAAAATCATCAGTATAACACACTGCTTGCATGAAAGACTTTCTCTTTAGAAAAGCACCTCTACATAAAGAATTTTTCTTTTTAATATAGCATTATGTTGTTTATATTCTCAGAGAGCACACGTCAGTCACTACCTGTGACTTCTTTTTCCAGATAATTATACAAAAGATGGAATCACTACATCTGTGCTACACATGACAATTTCTTACCTGTGGTTTGTGGAACAATTTGAATGCAGTCGCTTACTAAGTTATCAGAGGAGAAAGGCTGAAATCGTCACAGTTATTAATGCCATTCTATCCCCAGTGGCAACTGGGGTGCATATCTATGCAGCATAACATAGCAGTCTCCTTCTGTGGAGCAAGGAGAATTCCATTCTAATTTAATCCTGCAAGCCAGGTACCACCTGCTGGACCCTTCATCATCTACCTAACTGCACAAAGAAACAGGCAGAAAGCAGCCTTCATACAGAGAACTAATCCTTTAATAATTCAGTATTTGTTCAGTTAACTGCAGCATTTGCAGGAAGTACGTTCACCATTAGGACTTATTTTTTTTGTGGTATTTTGCTTGCCTTTTTTCTCCTTTGCTCCTCATTTATTGAAGCACTCATTCTTCCTGTATCTTCCCACTCCTTTACGGTTGTTTTAATTCCTTCTGAAAATTAATTTGTGCAAGTCCCATCTGCAGATGGGTTGAGGAAGGTGTGCATGATCAGTAGATATTTTTGTCTCACCAGAATTAAGCACTATTGTCATTAATATTCCAGAACATTAAAATTCCAAGAGCACTGATTAATTAAGGGTAGGATAATTTCTAGGTTTCAGGCATCACATTCTTTTTGTATTTTCCACACTACACTCCATACCGCACAGGCCAAAAGTAAGACACTACAAGAAAACCCAAACCAAACAAAAACCCAAACCAAGAAAGAACAAAAACAAGTCCTAGCAATTTAAATTCCCATCACAGACCACAAATATGGCTCAGCTGGCCACCACACTATAGACCTCCAGCTGCATACATTTTTCAGAAATCCCTGTACTTTGAGGACTGTGAATTACCTCTAAAATTGTTGGCCTTTTGAAACAGTTTGAGGCATTTCCAAGTTGGCATACTGTGTTATTAAATCAACCTGCCAGCAGATGGTGTCTTTCTACTCAATTAAGACAGATAATGGCATAATTTCATCTAAATGTTTGTAAATGTCAATAAAGACATTAGTAATTTCAATGTTCCAGAAAGAAAAAATGCTAGCCAGGCTTTTAGGCTGTTTAAAAAAAAAAAAAAAGACAAGACTTTTTAACAAAGGTTACACTGGTAAGGGAATGAAAGCAAAGGAAAGCTTGTTTTCTTAATGAAATTTTGAGTCATGTGAATGAAATTTAAAAATCTCTTGGAGTATAATCCCAGAAAACTTCAGTCTGGGCTTTCCAGTCACAAAAGAAATGCCAAAACCAAAGAACACAAGACAAACAAAAAAAAAAAACACCCAAGCACTGCCCTGTCTTCACCAAAGGAAGTATTTGCCCTACACCAAAAGCACTCTCTCAAAAGATGATGAAGTAAGAAGAGAAAGACTCTACCAACTGCAGCTAAGTATGGAGTTCTTCATTTTTCAGTGATGAAAAAGCTGTTGATGGATGAAACAGTTACCATGCCATCCTCACAACAAGCTTACGATACTCCAACCTCATTCATCAGTTTGCTACACTGACCACCAGAAAACGACACTGTTAAGGCTTTGTCACATCACTGAATGGCAATAACAATTAAAGTCACAACCATAAAGAATGCAAAGTGATACTTAATCACATACAAGTGTGCTGTTTCTTAAAGTAGTTTTAAATGTCACCATGGAAAAAGTGCCAGATGATTTCCAACCCCCGCCCCTTACAATGAAGAAAGAGGTGTGTATTATATTCTCTTTAACAATTTTTAGCCTGAAAGATTTTTAAAAAAAATCCTCTCTGAATTTAAGTCTGCACCAAAGCGCATACTGGCACGCAGACCACAGTTAGCATCAGGTTAGCAGATGCGCTGAATAGCAGAACTGGTATAGTTGCCTTAGAGGTGTCCTCTAACAAGGCTGAATTACTCTGTTTCCTAGGTTTCTGGTACCTTATCTATATTACTGAAAACTAGCTTGAGTGTCCCTACACACCTGCATTATACAGTGCAGCAGCAGTTACTTATGGGTAACAGTTCTTTCTGGGGAAAAAAATGGAAGCAAACTAGGAAAACTGCAAATTATAAAGCATATAAAAAATTAAGCACATGTCCAAACCATCATTTCCTCCACAGACCACTAAAATTTATATACACACAACAACACTGACATATACCTTCCAGTGTTTATGTACTTGTTTTTAAAGGCTCAGCTAAACAAACAAACAAAAAAAACCACCCCAAAGAACAACTCCAAAAAACAAATCACAAAACAAGAATTACATCAAGTCTTCCTCCCAGAAGACAATTATGCCAGACTTCACAGGTACGTGCATCGTAAAGGAGGACAATCATGTCCACTAGTTGTTCTTTCAAATATTTGGGTTTGGTTCATTTAAAAAAAAAAAAAAAAAAAAAGAAAAGAATTAAAATATATTAAATACTATTTACCAGTACTTGCTACTGTTGTCTTCACTTGACCATGCAATGGATTTCCCCCCCGCCAATCCTCCTGGCCCCAAACCCTAATTACATTGAAAGCCCAGACCTCCCTGATGATTCTGATTTGTCCCACAGTTTGTTATAGGACAATCACGTGCTTTTTTCCACACATATGCTTAAAGTTCTACTAAAAAATAAATACTGATAAGGCAAAAAAAACCCACATAAAATCATCCAATCACACCATCACCAGTTCTTTTGTACAAAACTAAGATTCACCTCAGCATTTGCTTGTGCTGTCTCTGTTCTTGAAGCAGTTTGGTATGCAGTACCAGATTACTCTGATTAGTAATATATAACGGTCTTTCCTTATACCTTTACAGAAATAAACATATAATGATGTATATTGGTAGAATACTACTTCAGTTTAATTTTTTCTGCCACCTTATATTTAAGCTTCCCATCAGCCATGTTCCAACAGCTCTGCCGTCCTCAAAATTTTAAGAGCTGAAAATTTTCTTGCCAAGTTCAATGTGTGGCAATATATTTATGCTAAACTGCTTTGAAAAAAAACAAAGCATGATATTTTCATCATGATTATAAATTGCTCAGTAAGCACAGTATGAATACTGTTTCATCTAAAACTAGTCTTCTGTTAAAAATCATAAACTTGTTTTTATTTAGTATTATGAAACTCTGTAAGCAATAATAATTTAAACCCACTTTGATTAGCTATATTATTTGCATTCCGAGTTATCGCTTATAGGGAATGCTAGCTGAAAGCAAGAACACATGGAATCACTCAGTACATATTTTGAACATAGTCTTAGCTATGTTGCAAGATGTGGACTCGGTCCCTTCTCTGTCCTCCCTATCAACTGTAAATAAACACATCCATTTCCAGTCTGTACATACTGAACCTTGACTTACCAAGTTTGGGTAGAGACAAGTGCATGCAACGATTAGTAACTAGGCTTACTGATCCACTTTTCAGGATAACAGCTCGATGTCTCTGTCTAGATGGCTCTTGCTTGGGTAATTCTTTCCAGGCCTTCTGCCTGTCCGCTTAGTCCCAGTGCAATGGAAGATACCTTCTGGGGCAAACTTTTGGTCGACAATGAAATTAATTTACTCTACTCAAGCTCATTGGAGCTGCTCTTCAGGATGCCTTCAACTCACTGGCGGGGATGCAAACGGCTGCCAAATGACAAGGATGCAGACTGGACGAGGAACAGGGGGGTACGTGTAGGAGCTGGAACCCGGACTCATGTGCAGCACAGGGAAACCACACAGTCTGAAAGTATCCACATGCTTCACCTTCAGATTAAATATACCAACAACTTCTACAATTGTCAGTTTATCGATAATTAGTAGTTAGGAAAAGGTTAAGGGGAGGTAGCTCTGGTAAGCCAGCCTAATGCTTTGCAGCTGCTGCTGCGGAAAGGGGCAGCTTTTCCTTGCTCAGCTTCAGACTCCTGCTGCACCTCCTGTGTTGACACAGGTGCTAACTTAACCAGCAGAGAGCCAGCCCACAGGGCAAATAATCCCGACAAGTTCAGCAAGTCGAATCACTTGACATATGAACAACCAGCAAGTGAGGGGACGTGAAGCCCTATCAACCTGCCATGAAAAGCAAGGCACTCTTCTCACAGCAAGCTGTGAGACTGACATCGCCATCTCATGAAGCCTCACCTTGGACGATCCAGCCCTAGCATTTTAGACTGGAGAAAGCAATGAAAGGCCAGGACGAGAAATAAAGAAGTGGCAGAGTCTGCAGAACAGAATGACCGGAGCCAAGGATCAGCTTATTCACCTGCACGGAGCCAGGGATCAGCCTATTCACCTGCACGTGCTGGAGCTGTTTTCTGAAAGCCTAAGAGGAAACGGCCCGGGAAACAGCGCCCTGCTGTAACACATGACTGCGTGGAAAACTGCCGGCTAATGAGAAAAGGCTGCAGCTAGTGCCATTACCGCTGTGGAGAAGAGGCATTGCGTGCAATGAGATAGGCTTGATTTTGGCTGAGCAGCAGCTGCTGCAACACTTTCCTGCCAACCTCCATCTGTACCTAACCACTTCTAAGTAGAGAGGTGGCTTCCAAAATGCACCAAAGCTTAAAACAGACAAGTAACAATTTCTACTAGGCTGTACTTACTAAAGGAAAAAGAATTACAGGCTTACTTCTCAAGAGGGCAGCTTTCCATTTAACGACATTACATCAACAGTAAAAAGTCTCTTGAGTTTCTATCATTCAAGCAGTAGGTCTTTTTTTCCCCGCCCCCCTAGACAACACAGATTACACAAAGTGGGAAAGCTACCTGAGAATCTTAGGTTTGCTTTCCTGGACCAATCCCTCTGTGATTCACTATCTTAGGAGAGCAGAGGAGAAAGATATAAAGGAAGAAACACATTTCTTGTTAGCTAGGTTCAATGATGCCTATCAGTACATTACCTCTTACAAAATCCAATTTTCTCATCCACACCAACTAACGAGAAAAAAACTGGGTGTGCAGAGGATCGCCTGTCTTCCTCGCTCATCCGCACCCAGGCTTGCAAACCTTGCAAACCAGCATCAGCTTAAAAATCCTCCCCTCGCTCCTTGCAAGAACTTGTAACACTGGCACAGTAATATTGAAAGTACACATTGTACTAGCAAATAGTTTCAGAGGTGCAATACTGTACTCTGCCAGAGGGTCACTACACCATCGTTCTGCAAGAACCAAACATTTACATTTTTATATTGGAAGGATACCTGGAAAAGCAGAGCAGCTCAGTGAGCCAACATAGCAGAGATTCACGGAGTTCCCAGGACAGCTACTGGCCAGAAAGACTTACTGAAATTTACACTGATGTTGGATTTGCTGTCAACAGGTAAAAATCAGCGTCTACAACACTCTGATAAGATTGAAGATACCAGAATAACAATGGGAAGGTATTTGTGAACTTCCCAAAATAGTAATCCTTTCTTGGTAACATCTATTGGCTCTTACAACTTACATAGGTTTGGGGGGCGAGAGGCATGAGCGGCACTGAGTGCATTTATGTGTTCATTCTCTAAACAATAGGTATTATATCACAGCTAAGAATGAACCATGGTACTAACCACTCTCCATAGCCCCAGGCAACAAACCAGTTGCAGAATAACCCAACTTATTCAGGTCCTATATGATCCTATTTTTGAAACATTTGGAAATTCTAGTATTAAACTTTAGTGCAGTGTCAATATGGATATGGGTACACAAATGAGATCGTGTGCCAGTCAGCAGGTGCAAATGCTCTAAGAGGAGCTCAGCAAGAACACATCCCTATCCACCGATCATTCAGGCTATTAGCATACAAACTATGTAGACATGCATCTTTTGAAAGGAAAGAAAATATACAGTGCAGTTCTAGATAATTGCTTTAGTTACCATCACCATTTCAAAGTTTTTACCTGATTCTATTTTAAATTAAATTCTTCCATTCCTATTCTCCAACAGGAGAATGCGTGCATATTCCACAATACTGCGAAGCTATGAAAGAAAGTCCTATCAAAACAACAATTCTACAAATTTCAAACAGTATAACTCCTTTTGTAGCTTAGTTACCACGTGAAATGGAAGGACTATAGACATCATATATGAAGTAACAGAGCCTTATCACGGTGTTCAGTAATTTAAATTTGTTTTTAAGAATTAGATTAGTTTTATCATTATGTGTTCCAGCTACTTAGTATATTTTAAAATCTAGCTTAATGTGGATGCATAAAAGCAATCTTAACCAAAAATGATTGCACCTATTTATATACAACTTTCCTAAATGATATATCTATACATCATGTTTCAATTCATAATGCTTCATTAACAACAACACAGGGCAGTAACCATAAGCTGTTAGCTTCTGATTTCACCAAAAAGCTTTGAGTAGTAGCAAATTTTTTTTTCAATTAAAAAAAAATCCTACAGTCTTGAGTAATACATTCTCTTAAGACAAAAAACCATCACAGATCTGCATAGTCACTTGTTATCACAAGTATTCTTAAAACCTGTAATCTAAAATTTGACACTGTTCAGATTCCTACTACTTGTATTACAGCTTTTAAATTTCAATACTAACACAGGTTTAATAAGCAAGTCATAAGGAAATACTAGTTTTAAAGATATGTCTTTGGAAAAGCAGACGTGGCAAATGGAACTACCACTTAGTATTTAAAGTCAAATATCTCTACTGTCTCAAGTACGTAGAGAGGATGTCTACAGCTACCCAATGTTTTTATGTCTCTGGTTTTTTTGAATGACAGACAAAAATATCCTGTAGTGGAAAGTAATAATTTAGTATTTCCCAGGCTTGCTTTTTTTTCCCCCTCAGAAAGTTTGAGTTCATAGGAAATTTGCTCTCATATTTTACATCCTCTTGTGTTGTTAACATCCATTTTAAGAAACGTAACAAATACCATCACAATCAAGTATATTGGCAACTTGCCCCTATACTCTGGATAGTGAAGTCCAAACTCTACCAAGACAGGAGATGTTAACTTTTGCCGCTCCTGCTACAGGTTTTCACTTAAATCACTCCTGATCTATTCAGCCTGGAATGCCTACAACACAGAAGCCAGAGGCCAATCTCCAGCACATTAAGAGATGTATTTGGATGGCTAGTTTTCAGCACTACGGTTGAGCATTTTGACGCTCCACTGAGCTTTAGTTCTATTGCACAGGAAGCTCATTCATAAATCATGTGCATGCTTAAAAAGAAAAAAAAGAAAAAAAAAAAACCACCTCAGGACACATCTCTGGCTAACAAAATTATTTTTCAATTAAGACCTTCCTTTGTGTACATCTTGCATGAGCTTTGTCTTACGAACTTCAAAGCAGTAACATTTTTATTTAAATACTCATGTTCGTTCCCAGTAGTAATAACATTTTAATTCTCAATAGGTATTTCTCATAACCAAAGACCTGCTCACCTGGGGAAATGATGTAAAAAAAGTTTTTGAATTCATCCATCCAGACTTCTGCAAGTCGCCTGTTATTTTTGTTGATTATCTGCCCTGTACCTCCTGGAAAAGTGTATGGTGTTGCTTTTCTGAACACATGCCCAACATGTGAGCAAGTTACAATTTCCAAAGTGCCACCACACTGCCAAATCTGAAAGCGACAGAACAATTATCGCATAGCTTCAAGTCGTTAAAACAAGTTTAAAAATGTTAACCACTAGCTTCTGTTCAAGTTGAAGAAACAACATTAGTTGAGGTCTAGAACAAATACATACTGCATAGAAGAGAAACCTATGCCTGCTTCCTGCTCAACAGATAAAGGCGCTCACACGGCTGAGTAAGGTAGCATAAGAAAGGCCTCACAGCAATAATGCATCAGCAAGGGACTACTTCAGAGACCTGGGCAAGCTGACAGCGAAGGAAGGAAAAGGCTCACATCAATCACAGGGAAGTAACAGGTGATGATGTGTCCAAAAAAGTCCATTATAAAATAGAATCTCCATGTAAAAAAAAAAAAAACAAAACCCATTCACTTCCCAAGTAAGGTTTCTGGTAATATTTTCAGTTTTGTTTTGGACCTCTAAAAATGGCAGATTCAGAAAGCTGGACTACTGCGTAAGTATCCACATATATACCCTGAGCTGACTAGCGCTATTTAGTAGGAATGAAAGTGAGAACAGTGCTGGTTAGGTCCACATGCGAATGAACACATGCAGTCATTAAGTTAGAAAACAGCGCAAAGACAGAGTTTGTAACAGGTGCTCACATTTCACCGACACATTAAACCATACACTGATGACATCAGCCTTATCTTAATCTCCCCAATTAGCTTTTCTAACTGAACTCCTTCTAACACACATGCATTCATTCTTCAGAATGACCATCCCAGTCTTTTAATCACAAGGCTCTGCCAACTATTCACCCTGCACTTTTCACTGACAGACACAGCCTTTGCATATCACCTTTGGAGGAACTTGAAGGGAAGCGAAGTGCTAAATGCAACAGGAGAGGACAATGATGCAGGCAGCAGATCTGTATTTTACATAACTCAAGATGCACTATCCTGAGTAACAGCACACTGAAAAGAGAAGAGTTTTACCTACCCTGAAAGAAATTTCTAAGTTTTCTCCACCCCAAATATCCATTCCAGCATCGTATGTTCCAATTTCCTGAAAGTAATCCCTGTCTATTGAAAAAAGACCTCCTGCCATTGTAGGTGTCCTGGGGGAAGGAAAAAAAAAAAAAAAAAAACAAACAAGACAAAAAATAAACATCAATCACTATGAAAATGTTTAAATACATTTCACACTTACACTGACAAAATGACTTTTTGTTTCTCAAGTTCCTAACACGTTCCTTCTCAGTAGGCTTCCATCCAAATTCAGTTACCATTGGTGTACTTTCAAGCTCAAAATTTTCCAGAGATGGAACCAGTTAGTGACAGTTTTCCTTATTTTCTCACTTCAAATTGGAGTCTGGATAGAGAAACAGCCCCTAGAAAGCTGCTGCCGTTTCTGAGAAAGATTTCTGCCTCCAGTGCTGGCAATTCACAAAAAAGAAACCAGTTTCTTACAGGATGTTTATACTTCTGGCAAGTGTTCTTGAAAAAGTTACAGGAGGCCATGAAGTGGCCTGCTTGCTTTCACTATTGTGCTTCATACAAGAAAATTGTACAGTCAGGGTCACACCCAGGTTTTCTTTACAAATTCCTTATTGGTAATTTGGCAACATTTCCCAAATTTCCATTTTTTAGTCAACAAATACACAATAGGTAAATTATATATTAGGCTGACAATATAACTTTGGTAGTTCAAGTATACAAATTGTTTTACACTTTTAGCACAGTGATTTTCTATCACTAGTAGTTTTCCTGAAATGTTTTGGGCTTTTCATCAAAGACACAAAATATAAACTAAGTCACAATCTAACTAAAATTTATGTGGCTTTTTTCCCCTAAAAAGGAAACTGGGGGAGGGGGAAATACAATTAGCCATATCCTCAGAAGACTTCTGGCTTTCTTAAATGAAAAAGAAGCAAAAAACGAATAAAGGCCTCAACTTTATGGTAAGTAAATACTACCCACTTTTCAGAGCAGTAAGGCCGGAAAACCTAAGTTTGCAATTGTTACAAAGTACACATTACACACAAGTTACATGTGTTTCTCATCACCTTTGTCGTATGTACATGACATGCAAGTATAAATTCACCTCCCATCCATGCACTCTTTAGATGTTAGGTTTATATATGCATGCACACACACACATGCCAAAAATCAATGCACTTTTTCAAAATATTGTTTACTTTGTTAGAATAAAAGGTAAAAATAAGCTTCAGTAATATATGCATCAGTATAAAAACTAGTAATTCTCTGGTAATTGACATAAAAATATTTCTAAAGTGACAAGCTGATTGCTTCCTTCATTGCTACCAAAAGTTACCAACAACCAATCCATGTAAAAACTGACGCTGTTCCTTCGATCAGACAAAAGTGATGCTACAACACAATTCATTAAGTACTTACTTAAATACTTACAAAATTAACCTAAAAAGGATATGAATAAACATCAGGTAAACATCTTAACCAGTTTAATAATCTCTTATTACCTAACAGGAAGGGTTCGATCTCCTTTCCGTCGATCCATCTCTCTCTGAGGAACAGGATACCAACGAAAATTCAACTTCCAGTTGAATCCACCATAGGTCATGTCAGAGCCTGCCATATATTCGAAGGTGTCATCGCTAATTACGTCAATGATGGGACACACTACTGTTCTCCTAGAAAAAGGAAAGAACCCAAACCTATTAATTAGAACGTCAAAAAAAGTGTTTGGGGTTTTTTTTTAATTTTGTTTTTAACACATACAGTTTAAATTAAATTAAATCATAATGCCATCTCTTAACAACAGTACTCAATAGATTATTATGATGAAATATATTTACATTCTGTCTTCCTAATTAGAGTTAATCAATCTAAAGGAAAATGTGTTTTCCTGATACAATTTGGCAATACTAGCTCTTTTTTTAAAATAGTATTTTCATTATTACCAGTAATAAAAATTAATCTCTCTATAGATAGAAAAATTGATCACAGCTCTCTCAGTGCTACACAGTGATTGCATAGAGAAGAGTTTTTCGCTTCTAGTTAAGTGGTCAAAGTAACTTGCATGTTTTGAAATTAAAACTTGGGTCGTTGGCTCTGGGGAAATATTCTTATATGCCCTCAGCACTAAGAAACGATAGTCATCATTGTTAACAAACTATAATACAGCATCGAAGTCAACAGGAAGATGCCTCCTTGTCCACTGTCCTGACATTATTAAGACATATAATCACAGAAACTAATTCTAATAATCTTAAAGACACTTAAGTAACCATCCTCAAGCAGGCTTCCTCTCTCAGAAAGCTCTGTAAAAAGATTCAAGGGTTGCAACTAAGTTTAAAAGACTTACTTGAACCATTTGCACTAATTGTAACAATTTATGCATCATAGTCTCACAAAAAGTATATTAATAATAACTTAAAGGGCAGTATTATGACTGAGCACAGTTCTGAACAATGATTTTTTATCACTTGTAGTTTTTTTATCATGTGACACTATTTTATTTTACATTAAAATTTAAAAGTGATTTTTATCTATAACCGTAAGAACAAAACAGAGATCTGTAACACCATACTTTAATCTATTTAATATGCTGTTTACTAGCAGACTAGTGTGCAACTACAGAGTTACTGCTCAGATGTATGAATGTTTTTATAAAGCAGATCATTCTCTCTTTTATTTTGGGTTTTTTGTTTGTTTGTTTTCTCCACCTCAATACAATTTCCATCACACTATCATGGTAATAAATGTTGTGAGTATTGATTTATGATAGAAGCACAAAGCTACGTCACTGCAGTGCAGATCAGTATGATTCCAGTAACTATTTTAACTTCAGAAAATACATCCCAGAAGATCAAGTCACAGCACAGAATTCCACAATACAAATACATTACGAAATGAAGAAATCACAATGAGAACCTGAAAACAGTAAACCTGACAGTTCTTGCTCACAGTGTTGGTGTTATATGAGATCAGGGCTCCATTTCTTCCTCAAGAACATCTTCCCAAATTCATGAAGCAATGGGCCAGGCTGCAGACGGAAGACCTCAAATTCCACTGCTCTCTCAACTCCATTCATGCTCAGGTCTCCTGCTATTTAACACATTATCCCATGCATCCCGATATAAGCTTCATTTTATATCAAGTTTTACTTTTTAAAAGTTGTACTGAATTAGCCTGTTATCCTTACACCAATGAGAATTATCCAGCCCTTCAGAAAGTAGATATTTGCTTGTAGGCTAATACTGTAATACTTGGAATATTCCTTAATTAGTGAAAAAAACAACACGGACCAGTAGATGGATAATTACCTGTCAGCTTTGATCCTTGCCAGCAGAGGTTCAAGCCAGCCTACTGTACATTCACAATGAGCATCTAAGAAGGTGATGACCTGGCCTTTAGAAGCAGCAGCCCCCTTTAATCTGGCTCTAATCAATCCAGAACGCTGTTCCATTCGAATCACATGAACAGGTACTTTTAATTTTTTTACATAATTCTCCAGCGGTCTTTTCAAAAAGTCTGCAAAGAATGATCAAAACCACAAAAACCGTCAGTTACATAGTTCAGTTTTTCCGGTTTTTTTTTTTTTTTTTTTTTTTTATGAAGAGATTTGAATTGAGACATTTCCTCATTTCTTTTCTATCCTTTTCCTACTTTCTCATCTAGTTTTTCTCTGCTGCTTATTCTACACTTCACAATATGCCTTTCCACATCTCCACGTGTTTCACTTGCTAGAGAAGGAAGTTCTTCCTCCTCTTCATTTCTTCATTATGGGAAACACAAAAAATGAAGAGAATGTAGAATGCTTGCACAGAAGCTAGATCAGATAGGCAAGTTTTTATTATGGAGTAGTTGTGACTCTTACTTTCAAAAACATATGCATAAGTGTTCTTGGGCATAACACTTCTCTACCAAGAAAATACAGAAAACGATCTGACTAGCTGAACATAAAGAATTACCTCCGACAGGAACATAACTTACAGGTAATTTCTTTGCAAGTAGTTTAAACCATTATCAAATACGTTATTCAATTGTGCTTTCCCTAATATTTTTTCTATTAAATTATCACTATAACACATAAAACAAAAAATACATACGAAATCAGCTATACGTAAATGAGTATCTGTAATGCCAAACCACCTCAGCTTAGCTGAGGAACAAATTATTCAAAATAGAGCAGCCATAACTGAATACCATATGCCTACAGTCTCAAAATTACTTGCATTACAAAGAGCTGCCAAATTAACAAATTTCCGATTTCCAGGCACAGTTTTTGTCCATTATGAAAAATTAGACTATGATTGACAACGCCAAAGGAAGAACAAAGAATTGAGGGAGAATGTAACTGACAGTCACAGAAGCAGACTTCTTCCGCGAAGTAGTTTTATAACACAGCTACAGAATATGTTAGATTATAGACTCAAAGCACATGGGAGTTGTACTACAACAGTGCAAAGCCTGTAGTAGGATTTAGCGTAAGATGGTAAGTACCTCATACAAGAATAAGCGTGACACTGGAAGGGGGAAAAAAAGCCCGGCATGAACTCTTAGTGGCTGTTTTGTAAACCTCAAGAGGCAGAGCTGGCCTGAGGGTGATTACCATTCCTTACTACTGCTCCGGATGAATGAGTTCTAATTGCCGCCTCATTTTTTTCTGTGCATTGTTGGTCTGTCACTAAAACCCACAGAAGTAAGTTCTGACACATCTCAAAAGCTGAACTGGGGTAAAAGAGCCTAAGAGTTTGATAGATCTTAAATATTTGTCTCCAGAGAAACTCAAAACAAGTTAATTCTTCTTTTGCATATTAACAGAGGCTCAAATGAATAAATGTTTATTAGTACAAACCAAGTGTACATGTCTGAACGTGCCGTGGGCCTTTCAGGATTGAACACGAACAGAGATCATTTGGCTGACTGAGTTTGTAGCAAATACAATGTCATCTCTTTATTGTGTAGCTTCCCAAAGCCACTAATTTAAAAGAACCAGTGTCATGGTAATATTTATGGCTTCCATGATATACACAAAGAGAATAAAACAGTGAAGCGTTTCTCTCTATGCCAACCATCTCATGAGCAAGTCACACAATCAACACGTTCCTCTGCACATTTCAGGTGTAGTGCTGATAAGCTTTTACGGTAGTCCTAACCACGTAAAGCTGAATGAATATGGGCTGGGACATTGGTCCTTAATGCGCAGTTACATTAACAGAATGGTAAAGTTCTGCCAGGTGGAAGAGAGAAAGATTTCTGTTTCAGCAATACAACTGCAGCCAGTCAAGAATGAGCACAAAACAAAGTTACATCACAGAAAGTTGCGGACAACACATCGCATATAAAAATCTGAAGTTCTACTTCTATTTTCTCTGTAAAGTATTTCAAATTTCAGTTTATCTTTTCCAGTACTTTTCAAATTTTTTTCTCTAAGGAACAACCGCAGAGATGTGTACAGTGTTTTCACTACATAACAGTCCCTCTCCCATGTTTAATCACATCCGCAAAAGTATTCTTACGAACTACCACCTTGCTCAACACTTCAGATGGGAAAATTCCCAGAAACAAAACACTGTGCCAGACATTCCGCAACTGTGCCCTTAAAATATTACTAGAATTTCAGCAAAATAAGCAAAATATAAAGCTTCATGTCTCATCCCTTCAAAAGCACGGAAAATAACTCAGGCATCAAGATTCCTGGTGTTCCTCTGCTACCAGCAGTTAGTTGAACGCTCAAATCTAAGCGGTGTGTTTTCCCTTCAGAGCACAGTCTCTCTGTGCAATACATGTACCTCTCAGACCGCTCCCTTAGTTCAAAGTAGCAAGTCTAGAATTTTGGACTCATCATCTATCCAGAAACTGGTAACAGTTTCTTCTAAGGCAAGACTTGCCTTTTTTTTTTTTTTTTTTTCCCCTTTTTTAAAAAAGAGAGTATTTGAATAGTCTTTTAATGCATGCGATACATTTTGGTCTACAAGAAATACCAGAATCAAGCTGTAGAGATTATTTTTTGTACAAGCCTATTGGTCATATTTATACTAAATCCTACATTAAACACTCAAATGAAAAGTTTTATGAATTACAGACTCAGTTGTTTACGAGTGATCCAGGATGACAGCTGAGCAAATTCTTAGCATTGCCTCATACACTTCAAACAGCGTGAGGTTTTAATAACATTAAAAACAAAACAAAAACCCACAAATGCTTCTACTTGGGAACAATAACAATTCCTGTATTTTCAGAGGTATAACTTTAGTTTCATTTAACTCCTTCTGCTGGATATTCCTTTCAAACTTTTTCTGTATCAAAATGGCGCATAATTTTACCTAGGATTATGGGCAGTTTAAAGAGCATCTTCTGGGGCAGTAGCAGAACTAAGAAAGCCAAAATAGCATATACATTCAGTTCAAGTCAAGTAAGTGCATAAGTTGAAAAATACTTTGCCAATTCTATTACTGAATCACACTTATATGAATATAAATGAACAATTAATTGTCAAAACTTTGCCAATTCTATTACTGAATCACACTTATAGAATATAAATGAACAATTAATTGTCAATTTTTTAATTAAACTACAATAAAAAACAGATTTATGACATAAGCATGCAAACAGTTTTAAGAAGTGTGAATACTTTTATGAGATATTATTGGCAGGAATTTAGTTTTGGTTACATTGCTTTGATCTGTACAACTGCCTTCTGTGAGTGTGTTCTATCCTGACGCAATCTGCCTACCACGCTTGGCCATTCAGTGCTGACCTAGTTTTAAGTACTGACTAATCCGGATTTCCCCTGTTAACTTTCTTTTTTTTTTAGATAGTTACCAAAGATCAATACTTAAAACATGCAATTCTGATCAGTAACTAGAGAACAATGTCACAGACATGTCTTGTCCCTCCAAAACTTTTTGGTATAAATAAGTGCTTGATATTATGCAAATTCATTCTTCTAAGAGCATGACACTAGCAGGTACAAAGTGTGCTTCAGGCAGACTGAATGCTTACTTTATTCAAATTAAATTGACTCTGATGCTAGAATTCAAAATACACTACTCAGGCTGAACATCTTTTTCTGGAAAAGTCTGCTGTTTTACTTCAACACAAACAGAATGCTTAAGAAGCATATGGTAAAAACCCTTCAGATTTTCAGGCATCATACCCTTCCATTTTGCTTAAATCTAAAAGCATGCTTGCTGGAACCACAAGTTTTTGGAAAACAAACCGAACCAAACCCTTTCAGTAATTGTTGAAAAAAACTACAAAGAAAAGATGCCTGAGTGATCTGAAATAAAGATCACAGATTTCAAAACTAAATATTGGAACAGGTTCAATAACACCACCAAAAAAATTCTGAAATGTTCTATCTTTCAGCCTCAAATTAAGTTGCATTGCTTTTATTAGCTAACCCAAACCCAGAAACAGAAAAGTTATCCACAGGAAGCCATGAGCTTTTTTAACTGGACTATAATTCTACTTCATAATGAGGACATGACTATTGCGGTGTTAAAATTGATTTTTTCTAAAACAGGCGTTTAAAAGGCAAAACATCAGAAATATTAAGTCTATGTTATTTTAATATTAGCTTGCTCTTTATTTCTAGGTCATATTGAAAGCTAACTTGTCACAATTATTCATTAGCACTGGTTTGAATTAGCGCCAAGGACTGTTTTGACAAATGAAATAAAGCGCACTTGCAATAAACTTTGTTTTCCGAGCAAGAGCCTGTACACAAAAGCTAACTAACCAAAACAAATGTAATAGCTCTGTTCCATGAAGGAAGCATACATAACTGTACAATAACCTAGTATAGGCACTCAGAATCCAAATATCAGCAATGTTAAGAAGAGGATTGTTCCCTGGGAACAACACCAACAGAGATGAGCAGTTTCACATGCATTAAAACAAAAAAAAAAATTCTGGAATTTTTATATAAAGGTTGAAAAAAACTACAAGAAATTGTAGAGTGCAATTACAAATTCCCCATGAGTGAAAACACTGAAAACTTGATTTTGTGCCTTTCTAAAAGCAAAAGTTAATCACACCTCTCACCTAAGCTGGAACACGTTTATGTGGTAGCCTTGCCCTTTGCATGGGCATTCCTCCTCTCCTGCCAGAGCGTAACTGTATTTAAGGCCTCTGTCCCTTCTTCCAAATTGTACTGGAACTGGCTGAAGCAGTTAAGTTAGTATCAGGTAAGAATGCAAAAGGAAGCGAGGGTGCCTGAGAGAGGAAAGGAACGCAGACTGGTACCAGCGCAATCACAACCTGAGTGCATGAGCTATGGGTAGGAAAACGGGTTGGTCAGAGCTCAGTTAGCTGATACGATCTTTCTTTAGTCTACTCGGGTCCTCCACAACCTACATAGTTTGGGAATGAGTTAGTTAATATGCTAAGGCATCAAACACACATGCAGCCTGAAGAAGAAACTCATTATACTTTCTACCACTTTAGATATGAAGTGCAATAATCCACTCCTAAAGTTCTTCATCTACGAAACCTCCTGGTTTTGTAATTGTAACCATTGCAATGGTTACTAACTATTTTAAAAGCTCCTGTTAACCATTGTAATCCATACACCATAATGCTACTTTAGACCATTTGATCTGAAATCCAGCGTCTGCCTCCATACATAGATCTTGTTTGGACAGATCTTGTTTGGACAACGGTCACCCATCTTACTCTGGAGTTGAAATCACCATAAGCAACAGATATATGGATTTTGCAGCACTGGCATCAGAAGCATCAGGCAGAGATGACAACATGCAGGGTGTAAAACCCTTCCATGACTAAGGCAAGGGACTGAAGCTGATAACAGCCTACAGCTGGCGGCTGCCAAGACTTTTTTTCTAGCAGCCTACTAGCTGTTAGTCCCAGTGGAAAACTTTAAATGTAGAAATATAGAAAAAAGGGTGATTCAATACAAAGATACAGAAATGGTTTAGATTAAAAGAAAACAAAACAAACCATAATAGCCTCTCATCTCCATTTACAAACATAAGAAAAAAAATATCCCTCAAGTTATACTTTATAACCCATACCACTGAGTAAGATTAAGCAAGGAACAAGACAAATCACAGAATCATTTGGTTGGAAAAGACCTTTAAGATCTGTCCTCTACTAAACCATGCCCCTCTCTACTAAACCAGTATCAACTATTAACCGAAGTGAAATATCAAGTATTGTCTAGAATATTATTTTTATTTCTACTGTATTATAACTTTAAAAATATATTAATAGAGTAAAATCTAACTAAAGCTATTTTATTTCAAGAAAAAAATCAGCTTCAAGTTTTGTCTCTTAATTTCATTCTGCAACGTAGAGTTTTCATCTGGAGCACCAGTTACTAAGAGGTGGAATCTCTTAGAGCATAGACACTGAATTTCAACTTCCCAGGAACTGAATAATCAAAATTAATCCCTCTGAGCACCAAGTTTAATGGTGCTACTGACAGTAAATCTGGATGAGTGCGAGGAACAGCCTTTGCTATTATTCACCAGGTGATTCCAGTATTAAATGCCCTCAAGCTTTAGGAATCTGTTAAAATTCTAAACGCAAAACATGAAAGCTGTAACAGGATAAACCCACTAGCAAACACAAACTCTACACTGTCAACAGAACAGTAAACAGATAAACTTAGACTAGTTTTCAGTGGAAAATGACCTACCTCTATTTCAAAATGGGCATTGCTCACTCTGCCCTCCCCTGCCCCAGCTACTGTGTTTTGCTGAGGAGAGCTAAGCCCGTGGAGAGAGTCTCAATTTTTGAAGTAAAAAGAGCAGCAAGCTAAGGCATCGATGTTGTCATTACCTCTTTCACTGGCATCATCGACAAGGACAATTTCTTCCAGCATGTGTCGTGGTGACCGGTTTATCACACTGTGAACAGTTCGTAGAAGAGTGCTCCAAGCCTCATTGTGAAAAACAATGACAACGCTTGTCGTGGGAAGGTTGTCTACATACACCTTCGTTTTACACCTATAAACAAAATAAGGCATATATTTGTAAAGACGAAGCCTTCAGTTAGAACTGCAATTTTGAAATTTATTTCTGAGTTTCAATACTAACAACCACGATATATCAATTGTATGCAAAGCATGACAAAGGAGCAAACGGTGCACAGATTTATATTTTTACCAAAACTCCACCCTGTTATGTATACATCTCCGTATTCCATCCCACCACTAAGAAAGGAGAACCTCAGTTCAATAACCAATTCCAGAAATGAGAAACATCTATACTGCTAAAACACAGAGATAATAACAGATTATTTATTTCCACTACCCCTGTTTTGTGAAGAGTAGGATGTCCAGATACACTAATCTAAGCCCCTAATTTAGGCCTGCATTTGCTCAGAGGGCAAGGGGGAAACCCTAGTACTGTAACAGGGACAAAGGCAGAGAGAGACAGAGTAAGAAATGACAAACTTAAACTAGGAAGTAAATGCAATAAAAAGTGTATATATATAT